CTAATTTTCTATTTACAGAATATAAAAGCTTGAATAACAAAATTCAAAGTCAGCTCAGCTTCTTACTCCTCTCTTCTGCAACTGTGTCAGAGAATCAATGACAATTTTTTTCAGAATGTGTCCCTCATTAAACAAGCCTGAAAATTGCTAGGAGCTTAATAATGCTAGCTGCCAGCTTCAGACATTGTTTTTTCATGAACCACACCAGGGGAAAGAAGTTAAGAGCACCTAAGAGATCCCTATACCAAAAGTTAAACGGGGGCTGTGTTGATATTCCCATTAAGTCCTCATGAAGAAAAATTCACAAAACAGTAATGCTTAAATCCTTTCAGATATGATGCATAAGAATTTGAAAACGTAGCAGCAAAGATTCCTCAGCTAAGATATATAATTAGCACTTGCAAACTCCCTAAATATCATTTTGGTTTTTGCACTCACCGTATGAAGGCTGAATAATTAGCAAGAACACTTTTGCGCATTTCTTCTGCAGAAGCCTTCTTCAGGTCAACAAGATAAGCGCACAAGTGCCTTATCTCCTGTAAACAGTGCAAACATTGATTGAATAAGAAGGCAGCAAAATTTCTTCAATGAAAAAATGGACAAAAACGGTAGCATTTTTTCCATAACCACTTGACTTCATTTACCAAGAATATTTGGCACTGAGCACACTGCCTAATTAACACATTGCATACGAACGACATGGGTATTGAAATTATAATTATAATTATAGTTTTAAAGCATGGAAAATTAGTTTAATTCTTATGACTTAGGATTACTCAACCACTCTGTATTGGAACCTTTTACTAGGATGAATATCTAGGACCTTTACATCACAAATTTGTAAATTGCACGAATCTAAACTAGAATTTTTTTATTTAATAAAAAATCTATCATCTAACAGTAGACATATGAAACCTTCAACATAGCAGGCATGAATACAGTGTTATAAGCACAACACTTTTATTTTAATTTTTTTGGAGATATTCCAATGGATTCATCGTTTCGCGACTAGTCCGATTCAGGGCGGGTTTCAAGGCTTTAAACTCTTCCCAAAGACAGTACTGGGATCGAATAGATGCTCTCACCCCCACCTGTTCTTTTCTGACTCCAATTGAACTACCATCATTTGGTATCACAACACTTTTATAACAACTAAAAACTCAGCAATTTTTTCCCTATATGTTTTTTTTTTTTAGTTTTGACGAAGCTCCCATGGCGAAACCCAATTTCGAGCAGTCAACCTGCCAATGGAAGAAGAAAACACTACAATAGAAGAATCTCAAGAAATCCTAGGAGTTAGGGTGAGATTGTGAGAGAGACATCCTATTTATATTTTTCACTAAAGAGTCTCACGAAATTCACACCAATAAAAAATTCATTAAAATCGTCAGATTTTTGAATACCACGAGATTGTGATTCCATTGTTTAAAATCATGATTGAATACCAACGTATTTGGACGGATTCTAAAATAATCCTTTAAAATCCTAATCGAATACCACGTGATTTTTTTTCAATACATTAAAATCCTAATCGAATATCAACGGATTTTTTTGTCCAAAAGCAATTCATTAAAATCTTTTGAAATTTCAATCTAATACACTCCCTACGGTATATTACTCACTTTTCTTCCCGAGCCAAAAGGCCATATTCCACTAGCTACTCCAACTCCCTTAACAATCACACCACAATTCCTAGGCCCATAACCTAGATCTCGAATCAGTAATAAATCTAAATTATCTAATCCACACAATAATTAAACAAGTTTATTAACCCCATAAAGATGATGCAAGGTCTCACTTAAGAAAAAGAGGATAGACACTTCATTAGAAGGTTTACTCATTATCTCACTGTTAGACCTAATTTCATCATCATCCATAACCTTAGAACGAGTCTTGCATTCTATTCACCAACAACAACTAATCACGAACTCGTACCAAACAAAAGAAAGATCAAAAGCCAAACCATAATCGCCTTAAAAAGTCTAATCTATCACGCAATTCCCAAACAAAAGCATCTTCCCCAAAACGCCACTGCATAATTTTCAAATTAGCCTTGCTAAATAGCAATTATACCCTCACGATGTAATCTCGATTTTACTACCGCCACACCACCCTTATAAGCGGTAAATACTGTGACGGTGACCGGGAAAAGAAGGTCAAATTTTACTACCGCCACACCACCCTTATTTTTCTCGTTCTCTATATAACATTGTGAAGTGTGTCTTTTATTGGCTCTTCTTTCTCTCTGTTCTGTTTGTTTGCCCAGGAAATCAAAAGAGAAAATAATTCTCTTTCGAAATTCAAACTTAGAAGATAAAAAAAATTCTCGAAAAAAACCTTTGTGTTCTTTCAGCACTACCACGTTGATGCTTTCAGAAGAATCACAAAGGCTTGAGAAAAACTGTTAAACAAGGCATTTTCTCTATCTACACTGACAAAGATATCATTTTCGATTCATTGCAGGCATGATCAATCATATCAAAGAATGTTCATTTAGTAATTAACATAAACAAATATAGACCCATTTATCCAATTTCTACAATGGAAGATAAGGAAGAGACATATATATATATATATATATATATATATATAGAGAGAGAGAGAGAGAGAGAAAGACCTTCTCGTTCATGCTGCGGGATTTGGAGGCGACATAGGCATTGGGATCAAAAGTGGAGCTTTTGAAAACCTTGAGCTTATCGCTGAGTGTGAGATTGGCCTCAAGTTCTGCAGAGTCTCCAATGCTTGATGACAAAGATCCTCTCGGAGTCGTGAACGGTGATGGATCCATTATTGTCTTTGTTTAAAACATGCATGCAAAAACACAACACAACACAACACAACTGATGTTTGTTTCAATTCAATTGCCTCTATAGAAGAATGATGAAACGAAAGTACAGAATGTAATCAAAGTCATAGAGAGAGAGAGAGAGAGAGAGTTGGATTTATATGATGTGATGATGAGAGAGAAGTGCAGCCATTCCAAACACGTAGGAATCGTTAATGGTTGTTTTTCTAAGTAGTTTTTATCATTTAGGGTTGTTGGCTTTATTTCATTTTGAATGTATGACAATTCAATGATAAAAATCATTTGATTACAGTTCCAAAAAAAAAATATGTTAAGGGTACAAGATAATTTAAAAATAAAAAATAAAAAAATCAGTGTTCATAAAGATATAAAGTCCATACTGTGACACCTCTCTAACTTTTTATAATTTAATACCTCATGGCCTCAATTTAGTTTCGATTAGAATTAACTTCAATCGATCTAATAAAAACACTAATTGAGTAATTTATGGGAATTTTTAATCAATTATAAAGGTGTAAAAAGTAAGAAATATCAAAATTGACAAAGAAAAATTAATAAAAAAAAAGTTTATAAATAAACGGACAAAAGTTATAAAAAAAAAAGTAATCATTTCGTAGCTCTTTATAAATGATTCGTATTGAAATATCAAGGATGTGGACTCTCATGTTGATTGGTAACGAATTTAGTGATATTCATATTAATATTAGTAAGAGAATTCATAGACTGCATGTCTTAAGATTTTGATTCTAAAATATAATGATGACCCCATTCATTATAAGGGGAATGATCCGTTTATAATTTTTTTTTACAAATTACATTAAATATGACCGGTCATACATTCTTGATTGAAGTATGATCGGTCATACTTACTGTAGTTTGTAAACAAAATGTTTATAAATATAATTTTCCTCTTATTATAATTGGTGTAACTTAATGTACTTGTGGTAAATTTTCCCATGAGCTCTTTCTAAACCATCTAACGATCCACTAATCAAGGATTACTAGCAATAATTACTCATAAAAAGCCATTGCAGTTTGATTTTAGGATGTATGGATAACAAAAAAGGAAAGTTAGGATTTGAAGAAGTTTTACATATTTACGTCACTTTACATATAAAACTCGAGCTTATTAACTTTGGCAATTTCGATTGATGTATACCTTAATTAACTTAAAACTATGGCTAATATCTGTGATTCCGACTTCCGATTTTCACTTTTTTTTTTTATCTTTTAAGATTAATTATGAGAAATGTCATCTTAATCTTTGTCATATTTCCACCATAAGTATAGATGTTTCCTTGTTTTTACTATTGATTATAAGATGTTGGTGGGTAGCACATGGAATGCAAGCTTTGCCAAATTTAGACCTTAAATTGGTGATGGAGAATCATTTTATTAGCAAGGTTTATGATGGCCACGTACAACTGTCCCAGATCCATAAATGTGATTTATACAATATATAGTTTAAACCCAAACATGCTAGCAATAATGAATGAAATAGATACACAACAAACTAAAAATGTAAGCTTAATTATATTGGAAAGTATATTATAGTAGTGTTGGGAAAACAAATACCTTTATCCATAGTAATTTTGGGTGCGAAATGTTTAAAAACCAAATACTTTTCTTTTCTTTTTTGGTAAAAAAAAAAAAAAAAACATACATGTACTAATCTAGTAACTAACACACATGTACTAATCTATTAAATCATTTCTGCTAATAATTTATTAAATCATTACTGTTGTAGAGGGATTTTTCCACTTTCGTATAATTTTTGTTTTTAAAATTTATTGTTATTTATTATTCGTTTAATGATCAGAATTTGGGGTGCTGAATCATTGATATGATAGCTTCAACCTTATACAAATCTTCAGTTCTGAATATTAATTTTATTTTTTATCAATAATATATAAAAAAATTATGCATCTCGTCCTTCTTATAAAATCTTCTTACTCTGCCTTTGAGTTTGAATTAAGTTTAACGGGAGGATGAAAAAAAAGATACTACAAAAAATTATGTGATTTGTGGAAGTTATTTAGTGGAGGTTAATATACCCTCCAGAAAATATAAAAATTTTGGCGTTTTTTTAGAACGCCACCATCCAATTTTGTTTTTTTGTTAATTTAATAGTTAGCGGAGGGGTTTGACCCCAAAATTTATATAATTATTTTATCATTATTATTGATGACCGCTACAACTTTATATCTATCGTTAAAAAAATATTTATTTTTCATCAAACTCAGCGACACCTCCCCAACTTCTTCCTTCTCATGCTATCTCCTAAGCGTATTTCCACGTTAGAATCATGGTGAGATCTACAGTAGGGTAATTTCTTCATCCTTTTTATAGAGGATGATGACATTTTCATCTATACACTTTCATTTTTATCTTTTGCTACTTGAGATTTTTATCTTTTGCGGTTCAGATTTTGGATGAGGTTGAAGTTGCGAAGAAACGTTTTGGGAAGCCGAACACGATAGTGATGAATGCGGTCATGGAGGCTTGTGTTCATTGCGATGTCATCGATTCAGCTCTGACGATGTTCCATGAGATGAAAAACCCCAAGGGTTGTGGTGTGGATACTGTCACACATGCTATGCTCTTGAAGGTATTTGGATGTACGTGATTTTCGCAATTCCTTTTTTCTTTCCAAATATTCGTTGATTTTTTTGTTATAAGTGTTCTGGTTTTAGAAATGATGAAGTAACCGAATGATACTCTGTAACTAAGGTATCTTTGGATGGTGGAGTAGAGTACATTTTTTATTTTAAGAAAATATTCTATTAAGAAAATACTCTTAAAATGAGGGGAATAAAAGGAGATATTAGCGTATAACCTCTAATTATCTTTATTTTATTTTGTTGTTTATAATCATTATATGACTTCCATTCCAAAAATGAAAAAGTAACCCTTTATATCCTTTTTTTCTGAACCTTTGTATCCAAACGTACCCCTATAGTCTTACAAATAGTCTCGTTCTCTATCTAACAATTCTGTTATGTGGAATTGTTATCATTTAAAAATTCCACATTGGTGTTTGGAGTTGTTTAATAATTCTATGTTGTTGTTTGAGTTTTTCATCCTTTGCTGTTTGGAGTTAGTGTACACTGTAGACCCCATTACATGTCTGGCTTAATAGTTCTGTACTGTGATGTTGTCTGTGAATTGGTGTGTTGTTTTTATTGGCTGCTAATGCTAAATCTTTATTACAGGCTTGTGGATTTTTGTAATGTATCAATTTGGTTGTATGTTTGCTTGCTAGAATTGGGAATTTCGAATGGGTAGTTTAGTAAAGGTGATGAAAGGAATAGAGAAAATTTTCTTCATTATTTATATGTAATTTATACTTTTAGAGGAAATTGCACGGGAACTTGATATTTTTGGTATTTCGATAGAGTTAATTTTTATAAATTGATTTGCTGAACTGATATTAGGAGGGGTTTCATGAATCCTTAATCAAACTAATTGGAAGTCTAAAAAAATCTTGCTTTTTAAAAACTGTTTGAAACTAATCTGTTTTAGTCTACTTAAATGGAATATTTTGATCAGTTTTTCCCCTTGGGACTGTGATTGAAAAAAATTTGTTTCATGTCTCATTTTTTTTCCTTCAGAAAGCTGCATATTGGTTCCCAATCATATGGATTATTCTGGAAACAAAAAAAAAAGTTGTTTGCTGAGGTTGAAGTTTCCCCATTCATACGTGTGCTTCCCACTTGGGTTTGACAAGTAATAAGATTCACTTGTGCTCGGTTACTCATTTTCTGCCTACATCTAGAAAATTGTTTTCACATGCATTCTTGATTTATTATCATGGTACCTAGTACTTAAGTTTATCTTCTTCCTGGCATTCCTAACTATTGCAATAACTATGTGTGGATCTTTGCTATCATGTATAACTGCATTTTTTTTGAAATTTTTGGATTGTTGATTCGTTGCAATTGACATTTTCTAGATAAACAACATAGAATTTTCTATGTTGCAATTATGAAATGTATAATGGATACCTTTTCTGGATGGCTTTTTGATACTTTTTGACCCTAGTAAAAAGCTGGCAAGGGTGTGGCTTTGAAATTATGTTTTAGCTTTTCCTCCTGTTTAAGGAAACAAATGTTAAGATATGCCATTTGTGCATATTATATATTTGATTTGTTTTATTTATTTGATATAATTTGAGTTATATCAAATGTGAACAGTTTCCCTTGTTCACACTTCTTGTTTTTGATTCAAGACAACATGCACTTCCTGTGGCATGGGTCATTACACGTAGCTTTGCCAAGCCTGATATGTCTAAGTGGCTGAAAGCTTTAATTCATCGAGCTCGTAGTGTCGAGCCTAGATGGAAAGTCAGTGGATTTTTAATTGATGATGTTGCAGCTGATATTGATCTATTGAGGCAAGAGCGCAAGATTTGTTGTTTTCGATATGAATTTGGTTTAAAACTCTATAGTTGTGTTTAATTTTCTTTCTTCTATTGATTGCTTTTACATAGATATATTTTGTTGGCCTGTCCTGTTTTCACTATAACGTGTTCGTAGATCATGGCTAAGGAATATTGTTAAGAAATGCAGTAATATTGAGGTTCAGCGGGAGATTTTTAAATGTCTTGGAACAGTGGTGTACAACATTTGGGGAGGAATTAATACATCACTTGGCTTGGAACAATTTATGCTGGATTTTGTTGACCAAACTGATTTCATGGAATATTTTAGAGCGTCCTGGTTGCCAAAGATTGGTTAGTTCTTTCTCCTCTGCTCTCTTGCATGCACATAAAAAAACTTGTTTGGATAAGGCATATTTGCATACAATACAAATGAAATATTTTTAACATTTTGCTTCAGAAATTATGGCTTAGTCAGTTAGTTATTGATATATTAACTTGCTTTTTCTCCTTGCCCTTCCTTTGCCCTGTTGTGCAGAAATGTGGCTTTCAACAATGAGAAATTTTCCACTAGCAAGCCAGGAAGCTTCTGGAGCATTAGAAGCCTATCATATCAAACTGAAAGCCAAACTTTTTGATGATTCACATCTTGGAGCACTGCAAAGAGTAGATTGGTTAGTTCACAAGCTAACAACTGAGTTGCATTCAAGCTATTGGCTTGACTGCAATGCTGATGAGAGTGATTCTTTCCAGAATGTGAAGGAGGAATATATTGCTTCTACATCATGGCATCGAGCACTTTAAATTCCTAACTCTGCTATTCCCAACTCTGCTTCATTAATCCTATGCCATAAATAGAAGATGTTGTTATATCGACAGAATAAGTAAGATTCTTTGTTTCAACCATTTATGTTACAATTGTCACATTTATTAGGCCAACTTTGCTTATCTTGCAGATAAGGAGCTAGCAAAGAACCCAGTTAAAATGAAGCAATTTCTTTTGAGCAAGCTTGAGAAAATGCCAAATGATATTAAATCCTTAATTGAAATCACTGAACTTGATGATATTTTATCATCTCCGTTGAGATATAGTCATCACTGGGAGCTCATGTTGGGAAATATTAGTAAAGGCAACGTTTGTGTAGCTGGAGATGCCTTTCACCCCATGGCCCCTGACCTTGGCCAAGGTGGGTGTTGTGCCTTAGAGGATGGGGTTGTCTTAGCCAGGTGTCTAGCTTGCATGACTTGTGTACACACAATTTTGCACTAGTAAGTAGTAGAAATCCTCAAGATGTGGGTGGCCTAAACAATTTTGATTTAGTTAAACACAAATAAAGTCACGTGGTTTGTTATGTACAATTGTAAATGTAATTGTGTAAGAAGTGTTATTTTTAAAAGAAGAAAAATGCATAAAATTACAGTTCTTAATCCTTACTTGGCCTTGCAACATATGGTTTATTTCTTCCTATCAAATAGTTGATTAGAAATACATACATTTCATTAATGCATTCTGATCCTTATAAAAATGTGAAAAAAGATGAAGAGAAATAATAGTTGGATGCCCCAAAAGTAAATTGGCTAACAAAAATAAAGTGATGGTGCTCAATTCCCAAATCATAATATATAAACCTTTCAACTTGTGAGATATTGGCAGATTAAAGCTATTACAAAATTTGACAAATAGTGGAGGTTTAAATTTGTCAAAATAATAAACAAATTGTGGAGGTCTATGTTCTCCAGAAAATGATAAATGTTGTGGGGGTCCGTGAATGATAAAAAATCAAATATATTGTGGAGGTTAGCAAACTTCCAGAAATACAACATCTGTGGAGGTCTTAAACCTCTAGAAAGTGCAATATTTGTGGGGGTCTGGAACCTCCAGAAAATATTCCAACAAATTGTGGCATTACACACAAAGACGCCATAAAATATGTTGTGGCGCAGGCAAAATTGGGGGTTGCTGTGAATACCACAAATGTCTTTTGTGGAGGTCAAAGACCTCCACAATATGAAAATACGACCCCCACAAAATGCTTGAATTTTTGTAGTGAGAGGATTATATTATAATCACCAACAATGCCGTACCAAGAGAAATGCAACAATTATAGAAAGAAATTTTTTGAAGAAAATAAATGGTGATTGTCATAATGAATGAGAGCACGACTACAAAAACTTGAAAAAGAGAAGGTCCATTTATTTGTTTAATTGAATGGTTAAGGAATAAGTGAATGTAATATAAACAATCAAATAACATAGATAAAACTCTTTATTTTTATTTTTTTCTATTTAACTAAAATAAAAATGACGTAAGACATGACCTTTGTAAAGCCACTTTTGTGGCTGAAATTTGAGAGACATTATTCACAAAAGAAAAGTAGCACATCTAAGCCACTCAGAGTGGTCTAATAGTGAGAGGTTTGTGTAGATTATATTAGGTTATGTGTTCAATTTTTACTTGTATATAAAATAAAGCACAACTCATTGTGCCAATTTTGAAAAGTTGAAGAACGCGAAGTAACGTGTAACACGAAGATATCAAACAATGTGGAAATTTTTTATATAGATAGGTAACATTGCTCATTGTTCTGGGCATCCAAAAATTCCCACATTCTAGGGAGAAAACTCAAGTGTTTCTTAAGTTGTATTTTGAGCGAGGTGTATTCTTCTAATATAAGAGAGAGTGATATTATTATCTTCTTATATTCTAGAGAGGTGTTGTAATTTCTTTTACTTAGTAAAAATCTTTTTTGATCTTGCTTATGGTTTTTTTCTCCAATTGGGTTTTTCTTATAAATCTTGTGTGTCACTTCAAGTGGCATATTTGTCAATCTCTTGACGTGTGGAATTAAGATAAAGTTTAGGGAAATGAGTGGTTTTTTAATTAGTCACTGTTGTGCAACACAAAGAAACTCCCACTGGTTTACACTTACCTGGTCAATTGTTGTGGTTAATAGTATCTTGAAAATTTGGTTTCTATAAACTCTATTTTAGCGGCATGATACTTTATTACCTAACACTGGTATCAGAGCTGATTGGTTACTAGTTACTATTCAAGTTGCGGTACTATTCACAGTTACTTTTCACATATGTGGTTATATACTTTTACAGTATTGTTAACGTATACTGGATTTGTTCGAGTATATGGTACTATTTGTATATACGATATTGTTCATATATATGGTACTATTCACGGTGAAATAGTGCAACCCAATACAATTAATAATTAGAGTATTGTCAATATCATGCAGGCAACATTTGAGATTGAGAAATTCAATGAGAGTAATTTTTCCTTCTGGAAGCTGAAGATGAAGGAAATAATGAGGAAGGGCAATTGCTTAGCTGCAATTGAAGGTAGACCTATAGAAGTAACAGAAGAAAAATGGTTAAAGAAAATTTGGGATTCGGTCTAGTCAAGTGTTGCTAAGAAGAAGACGACAAAGGAAATTTGGGATGTGCTCACCAAATTGTACGAGGTCAAATTTGTTCACTATAAGATATTGTTAAAGATGAGACAATATACTCTTTGAATGAATGAGTCCACAACGATAACGAATCACATTAATAATCTAAATAAGTTATTTTCTCAATTTATAGCATTGGATTACAACGTAGCAAAAAGTGAACATGTCAAGCTTCTACTCCAAATTCTACTTGATTCATATGATCAACTCATCATCAACATAACAAATAAAAGGTTATTAAACAACTTGTCTTTCAATGATACTGCTGCTGTAATTCTTGAAGAAGAATCTCAATGGAAGAATAAGGAGGATATATTGGAAAACTCAAAGCAAGCAGAGGCTTTGACGATGATGAGACGAAGGTCAATGGAACGTAGCTCGAATGGGAGTCAAAATCAGAGTAGATCAAAGTCAACAAAAAGGAAGAATGTAAAATGCTACCAAAGTGAAAAAAAAGACATTTCAAGAAACATTTCAAGTCTCATGAAGTAAATACCTATCAAGGATATGTTGCTAGTACCTCTAGTGAAAGAGAAATCTTATACAGCGAAACAACAATTAGTTCTAATGGTGAAAAATAACTCACTGATATTTTGATAGTGGATTCGGGAGCAACATGGCACATGACTTTACGATGAGACTAGTTTTGTTCTTATGAACCTGTCTATGAAGGATACGTGTTTATGGAAAATGAGCATGCCTTAGAGATTGTCATAATTGGTACTGTCAAGATAAAAATGTATGATGTACAATTTGCACAATTCAAGGGGTATGACATGTGAAGGGCTTAAAGAAGAATATAATGTCTATTGGACAATTAAATAACCTCGAATGCAAGACGTATATTGAAGGAGGGATCTTGAGGTTATGAAGGACAAATACGTTGCAAGAATTAGACGTGTTAGTAGCTTCAGCCAGTTAAGAAGAATTAAAAATAATGTGGCATCTCAAACTAGGCCACATTTTAAAATGAGGCTTGGATATTCTTGCATAACTTTATCTTCTTCATGGACTCAAGTCGGTAAACTTTTCTGTGAGCATTGTGTTTCAAGTAAGCATAATAGATTTAAATTTGCTACGTGAACTACTAGAAGCAAACACATATTAGACTTGATTCATTTTGATGTGTAGGAGTCACTAGAAATGTCCCTAGAAGGAGCAAAATATTTTGTATCATTCATTGATAACTACTTTATGAGATTATGGGTGTACCTAATCAAGAAGAAGTTAAATGGTTCCAAACCTTCAAAGACTTCAAAGCAGAAGTAGAACTTGAATCTGGGAAAAAGATCAAGTTCTTAAAAACAGACAACAAAGAATGATATACAGATGATAAATTTCTTTCATTTTACAAGCAAGAGGGTATTATGAGGCAATTCAAAACTGCACATACCCCTTAGCAAAATGATGTAGTGGAGCAGATGAACATAATTCTTCTTAAAAGAACAATAGTTATGTTTAGAATTGCAGGTTTAGCCAAGTCTTTTTGAGAGAAGCAGTCACGATCGCTTGTTACGTGATAAACCAGCATCAACAACATATGGGTTAAAAATGCCAATGGAGATATGGTATGGTAAGCCACCAAATTATTCTTCTCTACATGTGTTTGGATGTCCAACATATGTTATGTACAGTGATGTGCCTCTAACAGATGTAATTTTCTAAGTTGAAATTGATAAGAATTGAGTCATAAAAGAGCAATTTAAATACATATTTGCTTATTATATTGATTCTTTCTATGTCAATGATATTTCTCACCTATTGGTTGTGTTTATACAGGTAAAAGAAGTAAAAATTACAAAATTGTAAAAGGCTACTCGATGCAACTCCACACGGGTGATCCTCAATACAGATTCCAGCAACATGGCGCGGAATGACGCCACACCGGCGCAAACTGGCGCCAAATTTTGGAGAATTGCATTTTTCACAGAGAAGCGGCGCCCAGTGGCGCCGGTTTTCAGATTCACACCGGTACTTTTGGAGCGGCGCCCAGTGGCGCCACAACGGCGCACACTGGCGCCAATTTTTGGAGATGGATCAATTTTGACAGGCGCCACAATGGCGCCAACTGGCGCCGGTTTTCGGACTCAACACGTTGCTTTGGAGCGGCGCCGAGTGGTGCCACACCGGCGCCAACTGGCGCCTGTTTTCGAGGAAGCTGGTCCGTCTTTTCAATTTGGACAGAGGCATGGCGCCAACTGGCGCCGGTTTGTGGGAAAGATACATCGTGCTGTCCGAGGGTATTTTTGGAAGAAGGAAAAGAGGAGTATAAATATGATGCCTTTTACAGAAAAAAGGAGGGGAATTCTATTCTATTGAAGAGAACGACGGTGGTGCTCAAAGAGGGTTCTGGAGGTCTATTTCTTCTTCTTCTTCTTCTTGTAATTTACCAGGTTTATGAATATTGAATATTTAGCCATGATAATGGTTGGCTAGTTTTTTTTATTGTAGTTAGGGTCACAAACCCTATGTGAACCCTTGTTACGACGGATTGGTTTACTTTTACTCGTTTATA